GAGCCACTCGGGATGGAAAGGCGTCCCTACGTGCTGCCTACTGGCTGCCTAAACTACAGCCTGCTCTTGTGACAAAGAACCTGCTGCCAACCAGCTCCGTGTGTTCCAGAGAAACTGAACAGAGTTCCCTTCTTTCATGAACAACTTATCCGAGGACCTGACGGTCCACGAAAGCACATGGAAATCTGTCGTTAATTGTCACAAGCTTTGCATGAGCCCTTTTAAACGGGCTGCATTTGGAGACTACTCACCGTACCACTCATCAACCCAGGCAAAAGCCTGCCGGTGACCGATCAGTAGTATATCTCTGACCACCTGCGAAACAAGGAAAAGGTTAAAAACCTCTGCAGCAACGAAACATTTTAGAAAAGCAACACTGTTGTCTTTCAACTTAATTTAAAGTGAAAAATATCTGTTTTGTGTTTAAAAAGATATGCCCTACAGAGTTGGACATACTGGCTCTGAAGGTCTCGTAGTCCAGCCTCCCACCTGAAGTGGATCTGTTGCTGACACTGGATCACATGAGCATGGCTTGGACTAGCATGGGAAGCCATTTGGCAACATGTACAGGATCCATTAATCTTTGGGCAGTTAGATGTTCTGGAAGTCTTCTTTTTTCTTTGCTAGTTTTTAAACATGTGGAAGGTCAATACTCTGAAAAATACTGATTTGGCTGTTAGGCCATTCATTAACTAATTTTTTAGTAGACTGACAGGAAAACTTTCCTACTACTTGGTTGTACGAAATTTTGCACATCACGGCTACACGTATGGTACTTATGTACACTCATAAATACCTTAGCTCATATATTTATCACAGTATTGAAAATGTCATTGATAGCTTTTCTCAACCTCAGACCTGAGCAGCTCCGGGCTTTGTCAAGTTTATACCCAGAGACAAACTCTTTGGCTCTGCTTCAGATCCTTCAGAGCTTAAGAGAGGTCTGAAAGCAGATTCTACGCTGGCAGAGTTACATTCCTGTGCGGGGTAGTACTTGAGTTCTGCTCATGTGAAGGGTAAGAAATGGCTCCTGTTTCACTGACCTTGTGCACAAATTGCTCCACTCTGGTTTGAAGTCCCCAGACTTCAAATTTCACAGTCACAAGTTTGTAGGAACACATAATTGGCTGATGGGTCTCTCTCCAGCCTTCTTTTAACTGGCCTCTCCCAGTCTTCTGTGACTTGAAATACTTAGGATCCTGCAAAACAAAGAAAACATACTGGGAAATGCAGGAGAGGAAGTCCTATTTGTCAGTTTGCTAAAGTAAATGTTTTGGTAAGACATAAAATATGAAAACACGCTACTAATAAACATTATGAAAAAGTAACACACAATTGAGTTAAATAAGCACTAGCATATACAAAAATCCAATCCTGTCTTGTATCCAACAGCCAGCGAATTGAAGTTCCTGGAGACGCTTTGGCAATCGTATCACCTAGGACATTTTCTGCTATAGGAAAATACGTTATTGCAAGTCATTACAATCCAACGCACTCCAAGTGTGATTTATGGCCTTTCAGAAAAAAAACCAGTTTCTGCTTCAGAGCCTGCCTTTCCACTTCTCCCTCAGTGTGACTTACCAGTACTTTCTACCTATGCCTGTCTTCCTGAAACCACGTCCAGTTTGAGCGTTGACACATCAACCCTGGTGTGACCCTGAGAATGCCATTTTCAATTTTAGGTGAATTTGCATATCCAGGTGGCCAGCCAAGTATGGAACTCCTCCAGTTTAGCCATCTCTGGTGACAACTGAGTTCTGGGCAAAACACTGACTAATTTCAACCCTGCCTCTCTTTGAGAAACTGGATAATCAAATAAATTACAACAGCAAGACCAAAAACCTAGTAAGGACATTAGTTCATCTCTAAAGTCGACTTTTATCTGTACAAGATACAGGTTTATCTATCAAAGTGTTATTTTCCATATTGCTATAATTTCATTTCACTTTCTATCCAATCCTGCTAATTACGTCGTGTAAATAGAAATAATTCAGTTAAGCATCGATTTTCAAAACTGGAAAATAATGTAGTTTCAGTAAATTCATAGCGGGGCTAAAATCTGTCTTCAAGAATAACCACCAGTGCTCATCTTTGCTGCCTTCCCCAAAGCTGACACCTGGGAAGAACTTTTAAATCCATCCTTCGTTATAAAAGCAGTTAAACATGTATTTAAGCATGTGCTTAAATAATGCGCTAAACAGAAGACAATCAGGAGAAAAACTAACAAAAAATTGGTAAGACTACTCTGATCTTAATTTTCTTTCATTCAGTGGGAGCACAGATATCATTCAAAAAATGTTCCTTTTTTCTAATGTTTAGTTATCTCCTGACTCGGCTTCTGAGTTTATCCATAAACTGAAGCTCTGTCATTAAAGGCCCTTTTCAAAGCTCTAATGACGTGACAGTCTTCCTTCTCTGTGAAAGTCATTGCTTTTATTGCTGACATATTCTTTTCTAAATAGAAACTTTAAGCTCACAGTATAATAAGGTTTCAATGTTAAATCAGCATAAAAAACAATTCGGCACCACCATAGATCAGAGCAGCACACCACCGTATATCACAACCTATAGTCACATGCTGTTGCCAATCTTCTCACTCAATACAGCTTGACCTCACATTGATCTGGATATCCGCCCGTTGAAAGAGTTGTTTTATAACTGATCATTGCCTGAAGAAATCAATATAGCAAAAATAATGAAAAGAAAAAGGAAAAAGGGAAGAACTAAGACATAATATTCAGAAAGATGTAAAATTCTAGTAGATGGTTCTATGAATAAAGAAATAATTAGAGAAAATATGGTTGCAAATATTTCTGCAAAATGTTCCAGTGTAAAATAAGTATTTCTAAAAAGGAAAATCAAAGGAAAATAGTTTCCTGTAAGAAAGGGTCTGCTGTTTCTTACATGCACATACGGTGCTAGTGTGATGGAGCCACTGTCTCGGTTAAGCATTTCAGATGTGCACTTTAATAACAGCGAGTGTTCTACCTTCTCTCCCTTCACGCACAACCAGATCTATAATGGAATAACTTCAGCGCAGGCCAAAGGGATTTAATGTAATGAATTTGAGTCGGTATCAAGTATTCAGAATTTATAAATAAAAATTAAACAACGAGCAGCTACCCTGCATGACTGCTCAGTCACGCATAAAACTCGTGTCTCGTTCAAACCACAAGAACCCTCTGGCTGCTGTGAAAGCTGCGGTTTGTTTCGTTTTCTTCTGGTTTTGTGAAGTTAACCCAGCAGACAAGGGGATTCATCATGGAAACTGTTCTTCAGTTGGTGGCCCAGAAAACAACCCACCTACCGCAATGCGATTCTTCCATGACATCACTGCTCGTTGCAAATTCCTTTAACAGCGCCCAGAGCTGGCACCTCTGCTTCCCTTGATCGTGTCCCATTCTTCTTGAAGGACGTGAGGTTTAGTCACAAATTGGCTGGACGGTTTCAAGCGAAGCGCCAGGCAATGACGGACAGCATGGGCAACTTCTATCTAATAGCTTTTAGGGAAATTCCTGCCTTTCTGAAACATTAACGTATTGATACGATAAAACTGCAGCCCGATGAGTGGAAGCCAGGGAACAGAAAGAATTCAGAGGAACAGATTTCCAGACTGCGGTATGAAGATCAAGATATTAAAGACTTTACTGAGTGCTTGCTCAGGTGAGCTAGAACAGACTGTATAAGCTGAGTAGTGGGACATAAGATACACAACATTAAGCAAAGTGAGAGTTTAATCTCTGGGCCATCAGTTCAAAGGGCATGAGAGTTCTGGAGGTGAGTTGTTATCATAAATAGAACTAACATCACTGGGCCTTTTACCTGGATGCTAAAAAATTAGGTGTTTAAAAGTCTTGGGCTATTTTAGAAAGATACAAATTCCGGCTCAGCAATTGCTTGTGCTATGGTTCATACGAGGAAGTATTTAGGGGAAGAATCTCTATATTTATCTCTGTATTTTGCATATATTTATAGCTTTCCTAGGCCTCTGCTATTGGAGCCACAGGGAGCACAACACCAGAAGGACCTTTGGTGTGACCAGGACTATTAATCGTTTGCTCTTCAATGTCTGATCCAAAGCCCACAGAAATCAATGAGAACTTTGACATGAAAGCCACAACCCAGAAAGATTTTATGTGCCTAAGTCATGGCTTCAAATTGCCAGATTAAGACTGACAGCCTGGAATCCCTTCTGCAATTAGGCACATAATAAAAAAAAAAAAAAAAAAAGCAGCAGGGATGATAATTCAAATGCCAGCAGAAATAATGCTGGTACACAGCACTGCTGCTCCTCCGGACTTCCATGCTGCAGCTCACTGATTAGGTTAGTCCGACAGAACGAATTAGCCTCATGTGCCACGCTCACATCTCTCCAGGCCCCAGGAGGACGCGCTGAGCACCCGCCTGCACTGGATCATGGCCGCTCCTTCCCCTTCCTGGGAAAGGTACGGCGATTTGCAAAACAGACCCGGGCACCAGGCTGGCGCGAGGAAGCACGCTCGCTCCCTGGGCAGGAGCTGTGGCACGCGTGTTTGAAACTCTTCTACCAGTGACTGGAAACTGGGCAAGCTGATCTTTGGTCTGACCCCATTTTTATGTTGTTATTTAGATCATTAATTTTGTGTATGCCTTTTTTTTTTTTTTTCCCTTTGCTTTTAGCCACCCATGCCCTCCTTTCTAGAGAAGCCATCATCCAAAGAATACTGCATCTATTCACTGTTTTCCCCTTAATTTATCTACTGGCAAAATCCTCAATCTGTTTTAAATGTGATGGCATAGCTAAAATCTTTTTGTTTAAATAACCTTCTCGTCCTTTTATCAGACACAATTTATTAGGAAAGCCCATCTGGCAAATCCTTTTGCTACAGAGGAGCAAAACCTACTCTGTATTTGCAGTACATTATTGCCAGGTGCAGAGTGATTTAAAAATAGCACTTCTGCTAACGTAGCAGAAACATCATTACCCATGAGCTGGGCTTATTTATTTGAGAATAAAATGTAAAATTACAATAAAATAAAGCAAAATCCACGGTGATGGATGCGGTTTCAGTGCTCTCCCAGTGTTTCTTACTTAGGCCACGTCTCATGGGTTCTGGCTCAACATGCTTATTGTTGGAGATTCCATTATTTAGCAATTATTTACTTAACCTTCCGCATGGAGTGCAGACATCACGGGCATTAGACGTGGAATTGTAACCCCCTTTCCAGGAGGCAAACACCAACATGTTGACAACACAGCACTGGGTTGTTGCAACGCCTTTTCAGATTTAATTCTGAAATGTTATTACTTAAATAATCAACTGCGTTCATTGTTCACAGAAAACTTCCAAATCTGAACGGGCATGCTTCCCCTTAGCTTTGCCATGGTGTCGGGCATGATTTCCAGATGCCACACTATTCTGCAGCTGGTGACATCTCCTTTGTCTGTACGCTGGAAGCCTCATGGAACATCTTGTTGGCCTTGTCACTGATCGGTCTTGAAAATTACTTGCTGCTTGTGTGGCCATTTTAGCATGGAAAAAGATCCCCAAGCTGAACACGCTCTCCAGAGGTGAAAGTGCATTGTGCTTATGCCATGCATCCTGTTCTCTTACTGGGAGGTACTCAGATGTCCCACAAACAGGTCCTTCCTTCCTTCCTTCCAATGCACGGATTTAGTTTTTCAGACTCCTATTGCAATGTATTCCACTACTGTGCTTTTGAAGCGCAGTCAAATTTTTTCTCCCCTTTAAGCTGAAGACCATTGTGTTTGATCTTGAATTTCAGAACCAGTCCTTCATGGTGTTAATACACGTGATCTGGCATTTCACCATCAGCTGTTGTGGCTAGGTTCTGGATTTCAGCTTACACAGCTAGGGCTCTGGAAAGACTGGTCGATGTAAAGATGCTACTATAGACATTTATGGGGAGTCATTTTTTAAAGACTTTTTTCTTTTTTTTTCCTCTTTTTGAAATTCCATTAAAATGTGCTTTCTGGACGAGCCAGCTAACTACTTCAGAATTGTAAATACTGGGACAGTTCTGAGGTGTTGAAATATGATAATCCAGCGAGCCTTTATGTAAGCTCACAACTGAAGTTAGTAAGAAAAGGAAATTTTCATCTGTTTTTGCTGTGCCCTGTACTGAACAACCGTACTGACGTGTTGCCCACATCCACGGAGGGGGCCGAGGCAGCTGTATTATTTCAACTCCCGTAATTTTCTGGCTCCGTAATGTGACAGAGGTTTTGTTATGCTGAAAGCACCTGGACAGTAGTAAGCTGGACCTAGTACAGTGCAGCTGTGTTAAACTCACAAAAGCCGGCAATTGAAGAAGAAAACGGCAGCAGCTGCATGAAATCTTTCTGTTTGGGGGTAACTTTGAGAGTTTATTCCATTTGTCCAACTCAACTGCTTTGCTATAAACAGGAAACGAACCACTGTTCATTTTGAGAACTTGAATATGTTCGCGAAGAACATGTTGCTCAGCAGCTCACATCTACAGTAAATCTTTCATTTCAGTGAAAGGTTCACTTGAGGCCCTCGCTGTTCGGCACAGCTCAGCTTTATTCTTTTCTAGAATTCAGATAAATATATATGTCTATATGGGGAATACATGATGGCTGGTGATACATATTCATTGATGGTAAAGCCATAAGGAAATGGCTTTACAAAATGTACAGCCAGTCTTACCTGTAGGCTTGTACATTCTTTATACAGAAATACAGAATTCTGTATTCAATGCAATATGTACGTTCAGATTTGGAAACACATGTGACTTTGCACAGAAACCCAGGCAAACCCATTAGCTTGGATCTAGATTCAAGCTTTCTCAATTTGGAACCTCACATTTAAACTTCTTAAAAGTTTAAGGATTTTTAGGTCCATGTGAAAATAAAAAAAAAGCTTTATTTAAGATGTGGCAGCACTGCTAACTATTCTGGTGGCTTCTTCACCATGAAGTTTGTAGATGGGCATTAAGTTAAAATTAATCCACCTGCTTTGGGATACTCAGAATTGCTGCAGTTGTACCTCTTGCAGTCTTCAAGGGCAACTCTTTTGACAGCAGCGATCAGTATACCTCCATGGAAGACAGAACTGGACTCTGTGTTTGTAATAGCTGACAAAACAGTCCCCTGATTCACGGTTTACTTGGTGATTTAAGTCCTTTTGTGCATAAACTGACATATAAGCCCTCCATTCTTAAGGGAATCCAAATCACTCGGATGAATCTGGTCAAGAGACTGCTCACTATTACTGGCAGAGGTTCCTTTAAAGTGCTCCTCAGTGAAACAACAGCTCTCCTTAAGCCTCCAGCTAACTATATTTTTGACTTTTCAATTTTAGTTCGTATTTAGGAGAGAAAAAGCAGGTATGGACGAAGTTAAATACGATCATTTTCCCTTTGACCGTCATGACATTTTCATGGCACACTTCTCCTCGCTCATCAGTACCAGCCCAAGTCAAAATGAGCTGCGCAACTCCCATGGAATATTATACACACGAAGATGTTTTATACATTTTGTCTTTTTATGTGTGAATCATTATTATGTAAGTTACAATGGAAGGAAGAATATAGATCTATTTATAAGAGTCATGTCAGGGCAACAGAAAAACAGGTCTTTTAGATCATGGGTTCAGAGAACGGTTGCTTCACTTGTCTGTACCGAGCCTGATGCTGTGGGTCGCTTGGATATCTCCTGAACCCTCCCGGGGTAACTGCAGTATTGTCACCTCTATCGATATACACAACCGTATTCTCTCTTTATATAAATGAGAACGCCGCCACGAAAGCTGCTGTTGTTCATTCTGTTACCATCAATGAGTTATTTGATGCACTAACTCAAAGAAAGGTCTATTGACCCAAACAGCTTATAAAGGATAACTGAGCTAAAAATACTGGAAATCACAAATGCCAGCTTAGGAGCAACTATGTAATTAGTGCTGCCCGATCATATCAGAAATCACCCATCTACAAGCAGACTCGTAAGCGCTAACAAAGAGCAAACAGTTGAAATACGGTGTGAAAGTTTTAAATTACTTAAGCTACCTCCCTAACATACAGTAACACAACTAAATAACAACATCTGCTGTTAAAAACTGAAGCATATTTCACGTGAAGAGGGATGCACTTCCATCAGGATATAAAAGAAACCGAAAGCTCATTTCTAGAAGCTGCTAAGTACGCCGACACTGGCACAGAACTCACTTCATTTTAAGCATGTCAAAGATCCATTGAAATGAAGAGACTACTAACATGCCTGAAGTTAAAATTATTCTCATTGCTCTTTCTGGATGGGAGTCAGAACACTTATCCCATGGGATCTAATTCTTAAATCCCGAGGATTGTACTTCACTTTTAATCTTTAAACTTAGAATCAATTCAGATTAAATGATCTGAAAGCAGCCAAACTGCTGTTATTAGTGTAACTAAAATACCTTTCAAAAGCTTACGGTAAATGGTTTTTAGTTATCACTGAAACTGTTATTTGGAAAACACAGACAGACCGTTTCTCATTTACATAGAGTTACATTTTTATGCTGTTCTGATTGAAAACAGATGGAAATTGTATTTACGAACGTTAAAAATCTTTTTATAGTCCCTGAATTATGTAAGAGGCCTCATCAGAAATGGGAATTTGGCTTCATGTTCATCATATGGTAGCATAAAACCCCCATAGTTTGTAAACTTTGGAAGATACCGAATTCAACTACTATTAATTCATCATCAATTACGGTGTGTGACAGTTAAATGCTAAGTTGTTCTTACTATTTTGTATGAATTCCGAAACAGAATTTGGTAGCCAACATGCAAATCATCCACCAGTACAGAAAAAACAACAGATATTGGACTATTTTTGTTTAAACTCACATAAAATCCCATTTTGTTTGGAATCAGGTCTCTGATTTGTCTTTGAAATAACAACACAAAGACTGAAATTCTTTTCTCAACATGAGGCTGGTTTTCTATATCAGAAGATTAATCATATGGAAATTATGCTTAATAGTTGGCTATAGTTAGCTATTAAAAATGGGAAGGAAAGCTGAAAAGCTAGATGTTACCTTCGTGTTTACAATTTCTGGAAGTGCACACGCTGAGATGAGAAATCTTACATGGTTTCCTTAAAACACAGCCAAACGCTGAGCCGTTCAACAGCACCAGTCACTCCGAAATGGAACCAGAAGACCATGGAGTTCAGATAAAATGATGGGACCAATAAGCTGCTTCATGAGGTGTTATATAATTTTTCGTACGAAACAGATGGGTTTCATTACCTAAGGAAACTAATAAAATTACTTTTTGTTCTCCTGTAGACCCAATTTTGTTTTATGACCCGTACATAAAATTTGAAATAGGATCTATAAATGGAAGATAACAAGTACCTGGCTTTTTTAGTCTGAAAATCGTGTCTCCGATGGTATAGAAATATATTCATTGGCAAGTCTTCATTTTCTATCCTAAAAATGATTATGTAGTCCCATTTTGTACAGTCAAACAGCTGCCATGCTCATTGCCAGCTATGAATATACACTTGGCTCCAGAGGCAAATCATATCTCCAAAATTAAACGCAAGCACAGATCCGATCATTCCTCTCCAGCTACTTGTGAACCATCATTTTTCAAGTCTGAGGTTAAAACACTGAGACCTCATCCTTATTCGCATGGTGGTTGCTCATTTCAAAACAGTGAATTGCATTGACCTAAAAAACCCCACGCTCTTCAGAGATGTGCGCTATCAAATATACATGGAAGCAGTTTTCAAGGGAACTTTAGGAGAGTGAACGTGTCTGCTGCCACTGATGCTTTCTGGCAGATTTACTGCAGTCTGCAGCACGCTCCAGTCCCTCTTCGTCTTGTGTCATGGTCGCCCCTGAGCAACTGTGCGTCAACCCTATTCTCAGCGCAGCGAAGCTGTCCTTGGCCTGGGCTGAGACACTTCGCGTGACTTATTATTCACAGCGGGATGCAAAACAGGGCAACAGTAATGTTTAAAACTGCTCAGACCCGCAAACACTTAACGAAGCTTCGTGATTCCAAGAAAAGTCCTTTTCTGCTTTCAATGAATTCAGCTGAATATCAAAGGTCCGGTACAGGATATGTTCTGATAGGGGTACGAAAGCATTTCAAAAGGTTGGAGGAATCATCTGCAAAAGGAAGCGTCAGGCAATCTAGACAAGGAGGTTTCCATCTGCTTCCCCTCTAATCGAGAGCTTTTTAAATACTACTAACCACCAAGATTTCCTACAAAAATAAGATTGTTTTGATTCCTATCAAGGCTTTCCTGCGCCTCCCACATTCCCTTCTTCACCGTTTCACAATCAAGTTCTCTCTCACCTCTGATTCTTTGTAATAGCGCTCAGGAATTTCATCGCTGGCAATATCAATGAAGCAGACTTCTCGCTCCAGATCTTTAGCTTCTTTGTCAAAAATCTGCAAGAGGGAAAGAAATTCAACAGTGTATCAGTACACCCTTACAAAATCCACCTGGAATGGTTACAAACCATTTCAAGGGCTTGTGCAACACAAGGTATCTTAGGCTTGCGCCTGCACAGCCTCTGATGTAAGGCTCTGCAGTTTTTGCAGGGACACAGTCACATTCTCTACCTTCTGCAGACATCAAAGGGAAGAAAATGGGTGTTCTCCAGACCACATATAAGCAAGGTGTTCCTAAGCGGGATTAACAGCAGTTTGGATGCATTATGCCCCAGGCTTTTCTTGGAACGATCCACTAGTCAGATCAAGAGACAGTGGACTTGAAATACAACACACCGGGTTCAGCACTTACCGCTCACACTGCTCTTCTTCCGTGCACTTTTAGGAGCGGAGGCTTCGGTCACAAATAGCAAAGTCAACAACTAGGATTGGTTTTATGGTGTACTCTAACCTTTGAACTCGATTCCATCACTGTGTAAAACCCCTGACTTTCTGGACTCTGGGTGTTTCTGACCTTTTCACTCTAGGGACAATAATGAAATGCAGGTCTTTTGCGTGGACCCGTCAGGCTGCGTTACCGTTATACCGAGAACCAGAATTTTGGTTGAACTGCCCTCAGGGGAAGCTGGAAACTTGCACCATCCGTTTGTGCGCACGTAGAGCTTACTGTCATTTCAGTCCTTCAGGAGCTGGGTTTGAACACCAAGTCTCTTGTTCTACGCAAATGAGGGGTATGTTTCGAAAACGCAGGTCATTGTCATCTGCAGCATAGTACGCTTCCGTGCCTGGGTCTGTAATTTAATTATTTAGGCATCTTAGTGACCCATGTGACTTAGGCTATGTCTGCAATAAATTTCTACTCACGATTCTGGGACTTGGAAATAGTGACTAGTTAAAAGGCTATCATGAATCAGTGCCATAAAATTCAGGGAAGTTGTGTATGCTGTCAAGATCAGTAACAAGCTAACGATGTGTTTTCTCCTTTGGGGCACAATGTTCTACAGCTAACGTTTCCAGGAAGCATAAATATCTTTGTTTTATTTTTTTAAAAATAAATGTAGTGAATGCTCTGCTAATTTCATCTCATCCTAGAGGAACAGTTGAAAACACCAAATGCCAGCGACTATGCAGTAACAAGAATGCTGCTTCCTCATTTCAGAAAGAAACACGGCTGCCCGTTCGACGCATTTGAAGTGAGTGATGGGCTACAATGAACAAGCATACCAGCTGGGAAGAACAACATTGCTCAGGAAATCATAATTCCAATAAATAAAAAGCTGAAGTTTGACTCTAGAATTTTAGCTTGTCTTGGTAGTTAACAGTACTGGAACAGAAACGGCACCACCGAACTGGATGTGCAACGTTAGTGTGCCTGAAACTGCAGAAGAACAGAACAAAGGGAATCTCCAGTCTGGTTTTATTTGTGTACTCATGTTCCTTCTCCAATCCTTGTTTTGCAAAAAACTACGTTGATTATTTGAACAAATTTGAGCTGAGAGGTCCTTCCCCTGTAGTGCTCTTCCTTAGAATTGGGGAACATTTTTAAAGTAACTTTTACGTTTTATATATATAACATGGGTTGCTTTTTATAAGCTTCCTCGCTTGCTTTTTTTCCTAAACAAATTCAGATATACACAGCAGTCCCTTGATGAAATCAGTTGAACTATTTCTGGAACAAGATGCATTTCATCAAAATCTCTGAGCTTTAAATAAAGTAATGGAGATTTCTCTTAAACGGACATTACCAGGTCAGCTGAGGCTCTGAATCAGTACATGGCTTAAGCACAAGCCTAATAAATTTAAGCACACGCAGATCTCTGCACAGTGGCAAGGACCTAAATTGGGACTATTACCTGAAGAAACGTGCCCTGCTCTGTCACCAGCTTGATCCACATGTTGCACCTCTAAGTAATGTAGTTTTAAAATGCTTTGACAGAAGTGGGGATGACAGATGCCTTTGCCAATCTGTCAAGACCAGGAGGAATTTTTCAACCATTTCAACTACTCTTTATTTGCTGCTTAGGCTACCCCTGACCATTTCCTCCACTCCAAAAGTTTGCTGAATGACATTCTCACTTCCCTTTGCTGGCAGAAGTTGTTGTCTAATCATTTATGCTTCTCCCCTTCTTTGATTATCCTCACAAGATTTGCAGATAGAGATTTAATCTTCTCATTCTATCAGCAGGCGGAAATAAGAAGTCATTAGAGAACAAGACTGATTTCTTTCTCAGCTCTGATTCTGTTATTGCCTCTCCTAGCCACATAATCCGGGATTGTCTTAAAACCTGTAGGGAGGACGGGTTTATTGCGCTTGTGATCAAAGAGACTAGAGAAATTTAAAAGTTTTAAAGGAAGAGATTAAAGGCCACGAAAAGAAGCATAAGGCTCCCAATCTGTGCAACTGTATTTGCAAATGTGCAGAAAATGAATGGTGAGAACAATCTGTATCCTTAAGAAGATGATGCAGAATGGCAGAATATTAAATATTATATTGGAAAGAACTGGACAGGCTTTACATTTTGAAGCCAAGTAATTAACTGAGATTGAAATACACAATCAAATGGAAAACAAAGAGTAACATTCAGGCTGAAGTGTCCTATTTGCTGTAGGTTTTGATTTTTTGGGGGGTCGCGGGGGGTGGGGGTTGTGACAGCTTTTTTACAACAGCCAAACATTTACATATTTCCCCTCCTAAGAGGAACGAAAACTGATCATTATTCACCCACAGAATGACAAAAAGTGGAAGAAATATTTTAATTGGGTCACCTTCACAATTGTCAACAG